AATTGATAATTTGAAATAGGAAGAAAAGGTCCAAAGGAGAAGGGGTGGTGGGAGGGGAAGGGGAAAGGAAAGAAGGGAAAGCAAAAATTATGAGAAAAGAAAAAAAAAAAGGAAATGAAGTCTATCTAAATGGGGAAGGGTGGAGGGGGTGAAGGGCACACAGATAATGGGGAAACAGTAAGAACCAAGATACATCATGTACAGGTACCAGCACCCAATGATAAATGCAAACGTAATGTATACCTAAAATGTACCAATAAGAGAATTAAAAAAAATGTTTTTGAAACAGAGTCTCAGTAATCAAGAACTTGCGATCCTCTTGCCTCAACCTCCCACAGTGCTGGGATCACAGGTGTGTGCTGCCACAATGGGCAACAATGAATTTTTTTTTTTTAGCAAGCCAAGCATTTATTATGATACCAAACGATATGCTCAGACTTTAAATACTGTATTTAATACTGTATTTCAATACTTAAAAAAAACCTGAACAAGTATTAGTCTCATTTTTAAAATGAGGCAGCTGATGTTTAGAAGAAAGAGGCTCCACACTCAAGGCCATGGCGCTGTTAACATTCCAGGCCCTGGATGGGGTGGTTCCTGAAGAGAGTTACTGTACAGTGCAGTGCCGGGGTTACTCTTGCAAGATGCCTAGCACTGAAACATGAACTCTTTTGGCCACATTTCAGGGCCATTTGTTGTCCTTCAATTTTTTCCTTAAACATTAGCATTTATTTAACACTTGTCTCATGGAAATAAGAAACAACCAACAAAGAATTTGGGGAATACTTTCTCCATATGCTGACAAAATGAAAACAACCTGTCATTAATAACACTACACCATCAAAGCAACTACTACATCCTGAAAGAGACATTAAAGAGGGAATTAATCTAAATAAAAGCAATGTGTCATATATTACTACATTTAAAATATACAATATACCTTTCAATTTGTGGAGGCTGTTTCTTGGACTGAACTGCTTTAACAAATTCAGTAAAATATTCTGGCTTTACAATCGGACGTTCACAAATGAGTGCACATATTGTCTAAAATAAAGAAAATACTAGTAAATTTATATTCATACCTTAGCTTAAAAAAGAAGTTTTAAGTTATAAATTACAAAAAGGTTGTTCTACACTTTTTTCCTTTTCATACTTCTAAATTTATAACAACGGCACAATTTATAAAATAGAAGACAGTATTTGGTCACTGTTATTTAGGGTTAGAAAACAAGTACTATATAATCACTTAAGTTTAAGTTACAAATCACAGTATTAATTTAAAAACTGCTTTTGGGAGAGGATGGAATAACCTAACAAAATATAAATGAATTTTAGAATGCATTCCAATTATAAAAACATTTTAAAATATTAAAATATACAGTAGAAAGGAGAACATTAACATCTACTGCATGAGAAAACAATACAGTATTAAATATATAAAGGAAAACTATGTAAATAAGCTATGAGCCTCAAAATGCAACCACAAAATCTAAAAAGATTAGAAAATATTACAGTGGGAAATGAAAATTAAAGATTTGTCATAACTAGAAAATAATCCAACTAAAGACTTTATATCTATATGATTTTAGTAACAAAAGGTATTGCCTAACAGGAGCAGATTTAGGGTATGTCTCAAGAACACAACTTGAGATGTAAACTTCTAGTATAAAGAAATCTTTACCTTTACCAAATATGCAATTCAACAATGGACTTAGTGCACAGGTGACTCTGGGAAAGCTATTTAATTTTTGTCTGCCTCAGTTTGTTCTAAGTTCTCTTTTGGTTCTAATATTCAGTGGTTTTTAAAGACATAAAGTAACATTTAAAAAAAATTCACCAAAAAAAATGACAAAGTTTTCTTTTTTGGTATATCATATTAGTAGATCAGAAATACTAATAAGACTGAAAAAGGATGAAAAATTCCCCAAGTCATGTTGTTATCTCTAGTGGAGAGATCCACAAACAGCCACCAGCATCTCAGTCACTAGAATAATGTCCAGGTCTATCACAGACTTGGTAAAAACTCTCAGGATGATCTACCTGCCTTTGATCTTGTTTCACACCCACCAAACCAAGTGTATAACTGCTCCATTTCTTAATTACTTTAATATCATAAAAGGGATTTCCTGAAACCCACACTCAAAACACTCTGATCACTGGAAAGGTGTATCCCTACTGTAAATTAACAATGGGCATTTTGATTTATGAATCTACTATCTCTGGGTTTATTAGCATATGTTAATATTACAGGGGCTAATCAGGCACTGAATATATAAAATCAATTTCATAAACTTGCAAAGATTAAACTCTTGTCCAGGTATAATCCCACCAAGGGAAAAATTTAACTTAAGGTTCAATCTGAGCAGCAAGAGCTTCTGTGGCGCTCGTTAGCATGATACATATATTCCATTCAATTAATTATATCAAATACTAAAAGTTTTGAATCATTTCTATATAGATATTAACCCCAAAGAATCCCATGTATCTATAATCATCCTACATAAAAGGAGATGAGTCACTTCCCAATGTCATTCTTCAATTAGCTTTGGACATAAACAAATTTGAGAAAGATGCAAAACCTGAAAATATATCAAAATAATAGCACTGTTTTAATAAATAATAGCATCTTCTAATGGCAGACACATTTCTCTAGACTGTGCAGGTTAAGGTAATATTAAACTATAAGAACTTAAATCTTTGTGAACAAGGACTTAAATCAAAAACTAAATAGAGAGCATGAGATCATAAAATGGTAACAAACTGGAGGAAGACAACCTGACAGGAGACACAAAATGCTAACTTTGAAGATGGGAGGGGGGGAGTTAATCTTTAGTCTCTTTGTTTTTAGACAAAATATGAACTCTAATAAACTTCTTGGTAAAAGGATATGATTCCTTTCTGAAAATGTTTAATTAAAATCTGAAAATAATTTTATGTGCTTCTTCTTATCTTACATAAACAGTTTATCTGAAAAGCCTAAAAAAGGAAGAAGAAAAAGGCAGACTAAAGAAGAAAAGGGACTAAAAAAGGCAGAAGAAAGACAGAAATCTGTAACAGTTCTGATAGTCTCAAAGTAAAATTTTTTAAAAGTCTGTCTACAGTGGATAAGCTTAAGTTTACAGAATTTAACAGAAAAAGAAATTCAACCTACTTTAATGGTAACTTTAACTGATACCATAACAAGGTGAGTACATTCTTCTGTCCAGCTGTTTACTGTAAGTCCTCCAAGTTGTAATATAGCTTGACTCAAAGCAGTTTTCCCAGAGACATCTAAACAAGAGGAACATGCAACCAAAGGCTCATATTCTACTCTGTAAATGAAAATAAGTTCCATAAAGTTGTATTATTGTAGGGATGACAATCTTTACACTCACAATACATATAGTTAGTTTTTGTTATTAAACTTCCTAACCTATGAACTTATTACTTCCTAAGTTTTGAGCTCCAATGAATAGGAAAAAAAAAAGACCAAAGTTAATATTACATTTTCACTTATGAGGAATCAAGCAACTGAGGTCCCACAAAGGCTCTCAGGGACCATTCACCTCTCATTCAACCTCATCACTACCTGTGACTGATAAATGCTCTAACCCCATGGGGCACCGAGTTCACTACTTTGCCAAGTAGGAACAAAACTGGATTGTTTTCAATTCATTATCCATATACTTTTCCTTTAGAATTTGGTTGATGTCAAATAAAGATATCCATTTTAATATAAGAAGTCCTTACCTGAATTTACTTTCAAACACTCCAAAGGTAACTCTATCCCCTGTCTTCAAAGTCTGAGAAAGGCCATTCTGCATTTTTTCCTCATTAACAAAGGTACCATACTTAGAATTATCTTTTATTGTTAAAGTAGGAATTTCACCTGTTTGCTGCTGAAAAAAAAAAATCAATAAATAATGTAAAGTCTTTTATCACTCAGTAATATCATTTCCAGGGGAAAAGCTCACAAATGATTAGTTAACTTTCTGAATGGGGAATAGTTAGGCAGACAATAGCTACTTCTTTGGTTGCCTTCAGGGAATGATTACTCAACCAGCAATTAAACTTTCCCTTAAGGAAATTTCTTAATCCAGGATTAATCCTCTCAGAACATAATTTTTTTTTTATTTTTATAAGTCAATGGGGATTTTTCTGACCCCTCAATTTCATACATTTGGTCAATTTTTGCTTTGATACCATCTATTTCAGGTATAAGATGTCAATTGCATTTCTAAAAAAATGCCTTTTCCTCTTTAAATCATGAATGTGACATTGTAAGTACTAGTCCAACAAGAATAAATTTTGGTTAGAGTTTCTGTCTTATAGTAGTTTACTTTCTGTGTAGCAATTTGAATAATGTTTTTTTATGCCTAAAAAAAGACACAAAACCAAAATATTACTGAACAAATCCAGCCTTTGCATATATACAATCTGTTCTAAATAACGGCTTTTCTTTCTTTAGTACCATAAACCTTTTTTCATAAGTATTATTATAAGCAGAAATTTTTATATATTTTTATTACTCATACTTAATTGAAACAACTTCAAAGCAATTCAAAGGAGCAGCATGGCATACACAGAGTTATTTTTCCTAGTGAAACATATCAATTCCTACTGTGGAAACAAACATATGTTTTATGGGAAATGGCTCGGTCCACATGGAGCTACATAACCTCTATGACCAGGAATCACGAAGGTCCCTTCACTCTTCTATTCTCAGACTTGGCACAATGACTGATACACAATAACCATTCACAAATGTGCTTTGGCTTGGATCTGTAGTCTCTCCTAAAGGCTTATGGTACTACTGAGAGACAACAGACCCTTAAGAGATGGAGCCCAGTGGAAGGAAATTAGGTATTGGGAATACACCCTTAAAGGGGTTAATGGGACCTGTCTCACTCTTTGCTTCTTGGCTGCCATGAAGTAAGCAGCCTCCTCCAAGTGTTCCTGTCATGGTGTGTGATGCTGCCACAGGCCCACAGCAAACATGGCAAAGCAACCACCCACTGAGACTGTGAGCCAAAATAAACCTCCCCTCCTTCGGGTTGTTTATCGTAGGTATTCCATCACTTTGAGGGAAAGTGACTAACATCAAGCGCTAAGTAACTAAAAGTAAGTATCCCCTACTTGCGCTGAGTTTCTAAATCTTTAGGTGTATAATACTAAAAGAGAAAATTCAAATACCAAAATAAACAAATACCACATGAAACACTGCCAGTTATGTCTTTTTTTTTGTTTTGGGGGGTGCTGGAGATCAAACAGGGTCTCACACACACTATGTACATGTTCTACCACTGAGCCACAACTCCAGCCCCAAACACAAGTATTTGATTTTGTTAACACTACAAGAAATCTAAACAGTTTCATGACATAAAAGGTCCTATGAACTCTCTCACATTTGCTTAGAGATAATCATTTGTGATTTCAACTCCCCTACTGTGAACTAGAGAAATAAAATCAGAAACATACCAAGTTAGTTACAGAAAAGTTAGCGGTTAACACAGCATGATTTCGACTGATGGACTGATCATTGTCAATTAAAATGGTACAGTTTTTCCTTCCAACAACATACTCAACACCAGTCAAAAGTCTACATGGTTCTCCTAAGAGAAAGCAAAAATATAAAATTTTTAAAGTGCACACTGAACACACAGAAATATACAAATAAATATCTATGTGTACAATATCCATGACATAGGTATGACAAATATTTAAATAAAACACTTATTTCACTACTTAAATATTAGTCAACTTCATATTAAAGTTGTGTTTTCTAGCAAAGCCTCACTGAAGGATACCATTTAAATAGATGGAAAGTTATACCATTTTTCTAGAGGGGAAAAATATTTTTCGAGGAGTCAGTACTCCCTGAAAATAACTTATAAATTTCATGTACTACCAAATAAATCGCAATGCTATAGTTGAAACCTGATTAAATGGATTCAGTGATCAGACCACACCCATATACAGTAAATACTTCATCACACTATTCCGGAAAATAAGGTAAATGCTAAGGTGGAACCAATCAATGTTTCTGTAACGTCACTTCCTGTATGTCAATATTACCTGGCCAAGGTGCTGGGTGGGAGCGCTCTGAATCGCTAGTGGTTCAGGGTGATGCATGACTCATGAACCCTCCTTTCCTCAAACAGACTGCTCAACTTAATTTGTCTTAAAGTTTTTTTCTTTCTTTTACAACTACAGGAAACCCAAGGGGAAAACTTAAGCTGTTTCTTGAACTCAATCTTACTTGCTCACTAACAAAATCTGTGCCCTACCTCTGTGGTGCTACAAGCCACAGGGATGCATTTCTTCTTGCGTTTTCCCCTTTTTTCACTGGTCTTTTTTTTCCCAATCATAATGTAAACTTCCTGGGAACATGACCCAGTCGTAGGTACCCGTTTAACCCATAATGACCATACAAAAGGAAACCTACTGAACATGTGATAAACATTTTCTACTGCTTGAAGTGCAAAGAAGGGGGGAAATCAACTTTTCCTGTTCTACTGATGTCATGGGGAAAGGGTCTGAAACAAAACAAAGTACGCATTTCTGTGACTGCCGCGTGTTTCTTTCCAAAAATAAACCCTGCGCTCCAGACAGGGTGAGGTGCGGCGGTCCCGGGGTCCGGCCCGCGACAGCTCACGGCCAGGGCTGCCTGTGGCGGGCCGGGGAAAGCGCCCGCCCCACCGCCCCTCCACAGCCAGGTTCAAATCCCCGCGCCGCCCCGGAAGAACACCGGGCTCGCCCGCCAGCCCCCGGCTCCCGCAACCCGCGTCCAGACCCCAGGGCGGAAATGAAGGAGGCGCCGGAAGTCGGCCAGAACGGACCGGAAGCGCCGCTCAGGGGACTTTCCCGCGGCTCGGGCTCCGGGAAAACGGGACCCCGACATCTCTCTCCCACCCTTACCTCGAGCCGGTCCCGCGACAGGTAGCAGCTTCCACATGGGTCCGGCTTCTCAGGACCTGCGCGGCCGTGCAGCACGTACCCTATGTGGAAGGCCACGGCTTCTGCAATTCGCGCGGGTACGGACGTGCGCGCTCCCAGGAACCGTGCGAGTCCCCGGGAAGCCGGGGGAGCGGCCTGAGTGCGTCGTGGGAGCTTGGGTGCCATCTGGTGGCTGGAAAGGGAGCAGCGCGTGTGAAATACCCATCTCATTTTGAGGTGTTCAGAGAATGTAAGGTTATCTGTCTACTTTTTTCTTATTGTGAATGAAAAGAACTTCAAAAATTATATCCAAATCACCTTAAGGAAAATTTCTAATTAAATACATTAAAATGATGGTCAGTCTACTATCCATTTCCACCTATCCTCTTAATACCCTAGCAGTCACCACTTACCTCTCACACACTGCCTGCACCCTGCCAAGTGAACACCTGAGAGCGCACTCTGATCATGTAAAAAATATTCTCACTGTAAAAGGCTGGCTTAGCCATCTCCGTTAAGGCAAAAATCTTAAACACGAGATTAGCAAACTGAATCAAGTGGTATTATAAAAGAAACAGTTACAACTAAGTGAGACTTTTAAAGGGTGGGTTAACTCTAGGAAAAACAATCGAATCCACCAGAATTTTTTTAAAGGTGAAAAGTCCTATGATCTTAATAGTTACAAAGAAGAGGCGTTTGATAAAATTAAACACCCATTTATGATAACATCTCTGTAAAATAGGAACATCCTGATCTGATTAAAAAAAAAATCTATGAAAAAAACTAGAGCTTGGATTACATAAGGTAAATTATTGACTTTCCCCATGAGATCAAGAATGAAAGAAGAACCATGTATTCTTACCACGTATTTTCAGTATGCAATTGGAGGCTATGGCTAACACAATAAAGTAGAAAAAACACGAAAGATACAGATTGGAAAGGAAAAAAAATAAGTCATTATTTACAAATGACACAATTGTGTACATTAAAAATCTGAAAGTATCTACTGGCAAAGTATTTGAATTAATTGACTTTGATAGGATCACTAGATACAAAATTGAATCGTGTACCTTCATTCTAGAATAGAAAGTGATATATAAAATAGATAATTATAGTAGCATCAAAAATGATCAAATATTTAGCAATAAATCCTTCAAAAGATGTGATGTAGTGCTGGGAATGTAGTATAAGGAAGGCCCTGCATTAAAAAAAGATGTGATACAAAACATTATTGCCAGAAAAGTTTTAAAGTCCTCAATAAATGCAAAGATAATAGTTCATGTTTATGGGCTATTGTGATATAGTTTCTCCCAAAATTGCTTTATATATTCAATGCAAATTTAGTAATGCCCCAGAAGATTTTTGAGTGGAAATTGATAAACAGATTCTAAAAATCTACGTGGAAATGCAAACAGTGAGTATAGCCAAGACAATTTTGTAGAAGCTGGACTATTAATATTAAAAACTGCAATAAAGTTATAGTTATTAAGTCAATGTTCTGTTGGCACAAGAATAGAAAATAGGCACAGGGGTCAGAAGAGACAGACTTAAAGAGATTCACAGAGATAAGCTAATTTAAGATTTGAAAGGTGCAATGGAGTGACATTTTTTTCCTCCCAATAAAATCATCCTATGGACAGCGGTTAACACTATACAAGCAACGGAGACTGATCCCCTGCCTCACAGATATAAAACAAAACAAAAATCTCACAAACTCCAGATGGATCACAGCTCTAAATATGGCAATAAAATAATATCTAAAAAAAAATATTTTGGAAATACGGCGATCTTTCTTAAACAAGACACCAAAAAGTATTCCCTTGGATCCCCAAATCTCTAAATTTCATTGAAGTGGTGGATCCTCAAAACTTTGTAGGAATTTTCTCCCACACTCTGGAGTTTCTCAACAAGGCCTCCAGCATGCTGGCCAATCCTTGCTCATCCAATCTGATTTGTATAATACCGACCGTGTAGTAGATTAGCATGCCAGTGAGTTTAGAGTTGTTAAAACGATATAGATTGAGTTTCTATTATCCAAAATTCTTGGGACTGGAAGTGTTTTGGATTTCTGATTTATTTCATATTTTGAAATATTTGCATATACATAATGAGATATCTGGGAGAGGGAACCCAAGTTTAAACAATTCATTTATAATCCATACACATACACACATAGCCTGAAGGTAATTTATACAATGTTTTACATTTTTTACACAAAATAAAGTTTTATGGTATGAAACTTGTACCTTTATGTTAACACTCAAAAAAATTAAGGTTTTGGAGCATTTCAGATTTTGAATTTTCAGATTAGGGGTGTATTGTGATAGAAATTAAGAGAAGCAAAATAGCCATGGGACAGCACTGTAAATATTTTCTATTATTCTTTCTAATTGAATATGAACACTTTTAGAGTATATTTCCTGAGAAGATTGGGGGAAAAAATGTTCATCATACCACTCAGCTCAAGCCAGTTACCTGAACTCATATTTCTCTGCTCCTGTAAGATTTCACACCAGGTGCAGAGGCTGTAATTTGTGGGTTGTTTTTTTTTTCCAGCACTGGGGATGGAATCCAGGGCCTCAAACCTGCTAGGCTGTAGGGAACAGGGAAAGAGGACCTTACTAGAACCTCTGCAGTAAGTCCTAGTCTCCTGCGAGCCACGGCAGTACACAGTGAATTACAGGAAAGTTAGAAAAATGAGACTGAGAAGCTGAGCTTTGAGTCTGATCAGTGCTGCTCTGGGGGGCAAAGACCAAAGCCCCAAGCCCCCAGTTTACTGCACCTTTTATTCAGTACATCAGGAGAAACAGATGTAACAGATGACTTGCAGAGAGTTCAGTACATCAGGATAAACAAAGTGTAACAAATGACTGGTGGGGGGGGGGGAGGTGTTGGAAATCCAAGAACAATGAGGAACTGAGTAGATGAAGATTTTGTTCCTTCCAGGATGTCTTCAGCTGGTGTAATCGGGTCATGGAGCATCACAGCGTCATGGGATCATTGAGGTCTCAGTTGTGACTGGAGGCCAAAATGGAATTATGCCTCAAAATGCCATAGCTGGCCTGTAGGTGGGAGAGCTAGGCTTAATCAAATGGTTTTTCCCTAAAGTTATGTAGCATTGCTCCTGACACTAGGCAAGTGCTCTACCACTGAGCTACAGCTTCAGGCCTCAGCAGCTGTAGTTGAGGTTTTTTTTTTTTATTGCATTGTAGTACTGCTTTTTTCTCTATGAACTGTTAGTCTTTTATAAGGCAAGTATGGTGAATTAAGTGGAGATATGTAGAAAATCAAAAAAGGCACTAATAGCTACCATTCTCCTGTATTTTTTTATTCATTATCTTGACTGTGCAATTTTACAGACTTGCCCTTAGGTCTTTTGATAGCTCTTATTCCATAGCCCAAGGAACTGATGGGACGTTGTTCTAACTACAAAGTATATCCATTTCTATTATACATTTGGGAACTAGGGAAAAGACCATCAAATGGTCCATGTACTCAATGGACTCACTGCAAGCCATACCTGGGTAAGGGTTTCATGAACTGTCTGGTTTCTGTATATTCCATGCCACCTAGGGCCATAGTCACATTTTGGGTTCATGAGTATTGCTATGATTTGGGTGAGTGTCCCCCAAGGTCTATACAGAAAGGCTTAGTCCTTAAAGTGATGGTAGTGGGAGGTCCGATGGACTTTCAGGATATGAGGGGTAAGTGGGAAGTCCTTAAGTCCTTGGGGCCTTCAGCTCTCTTGCTCTCCCTACCCCCTTCTCTCCTTCTGGCTCAAGACATGAGTAATTGCTTCAAAATAATGGAACTCTCTTGACATGATGTGGGACCCTCTGTAGAGGCCCAGACCACAGACTTAAACCTTGCACAAAGTTGATACTTGAACCAACTTCGAACCTCCAGAACTATACGCCAAAATAAACCTCTCTTTATTTTACAAGGAGCCTTTGTCAGTTATTTCATAATAGTGATGCTATCTTAGTCAATTTTGCATAACTGGAACACAAAATCTGACAGCCACAGCTTAAAGGAGGAGAGATTTATTTTGGTTCACATTTTTAGTCCATAGTCAGTAGCTCTTTTGCCATGGTGTTGCAGGATCCTTCCTCCTGGAAATCCTGCCTCTCTTGAGTCAACAGGTTCTGGATTGCTAAGTAGGCACAAGCCAGGAAATTGGGTAAGAGACTGACTTTTCACTTGAGGTTGCAGCCTCCTTCTTTATATAATCTTTCCATGGTGTCCTTCCATTCTCTTGATTGAGCATACCCTGCTGGCTAGCTTCTGTCTTTCTCCCCAGGGCCATATTCTATTAACCATCTCTAAAGCTCTCTCTGGGTCAAGAGTTTTTGGCTACCACTCCAGTCTTGCCAGTCATTGGGATAATTATATTTTTCTGATAGCTGAATGCCACTGCC